GAGGGGTTCAGGTACTGTTTCNTTATGGCGACCTCGACACCGGCGCGCCCTCGTTTGAGCTAGCGTCGCGTGCTGACCCCCAATCTTGGAACAAAAGGGGGCCTCCTCCGTTCTTGTGCAGATTGTTTGTAGAATGTGATGCAAAGGCAAAGTCACGTCGTGGAGGGCACTATGGTGCACTGATGTATCACAGTGGCAGGTCAACACACGTTCTCCAGGCGGATGCTCGGCGGTTGGAATGGTTCCATTTCGAGGCAGCATTTAACTGGCAGACTCACATGCTCGACCTGTCAGCCAATGGTAGTTTCTGGCGGCTTCCTTTCTCCGCGTATCCGCTATCATCCGTCTACATTCGCAACGTTCGTGGCGCTGGAACGTCGTCTGCTGCCTCAGACTTTGGAGACGTAGAGGTAGACTACTGTCGGATGTCAGACCAATGGGATAAGTTCAACGAGCTTGGCGAAGTCCTCCCCTACTCGTGGTACAGTGCGCGGTTGCTCTACCCCTATGACCCTGCCCCTCGCGACGCGATGCGGCCTACCTTGTAACACGTCGATGTCACGTCGCTAGGGGGGCAGCCGCCAGGGGCCTTGAGGGAGAGTGGCTGAGCATCGCCGCCATTCTCATCCCCGCCGGCCGCGTTTGCTTGCGGCAGCCTGCAGAAGGGAAGAGCGGAAAAGCAGCAGAAACCACCATCCTCCCGGAGCGAAAAGCAGAAACAAAAGCAGCAGACAGGAAAGCAGCAAAAGCAAACTTCCTCCTTGAGTGTGATCATCGTCGTCCTCGATCACCCTCCTCAGCTTCCTGAGCACAGCCACCATCTTCCCCCTTGAGCCTGAGTGTGATCATCATCCTCCTCAGCTTCCTGAGCAGGAAAGCCACCAGCTTCCTCCAAGGTTGAGTATGATCATCAATGACGCGCCAGTCAAGCTACTATCCAGCAGGTGCAAGTTTGGGGCTCGCGCGCGACGATCATGGCGATGCGACCCCTCGCTCTCACTACACCGCACACATTATGGTCTTTTAGACGATGGGCGCGCGCGCGCAACCCCATGGTCTTCAGACCTGAAACTTGGCAGTCTTAATCTCACCACTCTTCTCCAAAATCGTGCCAACGCACACCCTCCCTCGAGCCAAAATGCAGTCGCAGGGATCGTAGAGGCGCGTCCATTGCCAAATTGGCCATTTATTTCTAGTGCCCAAGCTCCGTATGGGCCCCGAATATGGACGCCTCCGTCCGCCACGCCTCCTAGGGTAGGCTAACTGTGATTGTTGTCTCGATCATCCACGGGAAGTCCAGCGGTCCGCAACCGCCCCCCATACTGAGACTGAGCCGGCTCAGTAGGCTCAGTACTATGATGAGCCGCGGCGACCGGTCGCGCGGCGGCCCGGAAGAGGCCCCACCCGACCCGCACACCCGACCCCGCTTCGCACCCGCCGCCGCCCCACGGACCCCACGGGCTCCCCGGACAGAGATGGCGCCAGACCCGGGGCTCTTAAGGGCGACTAAGGAGGGGGGCAAGCCGCAAACTCAGCTTCGTTGGGTTTCTCGTGTCCAGGGGGGGTTACAGTCCCTCAGAGGAATCCTAAGTGCGGCTCTGTACCGAGTAGGTAAGGTTCTCTCTATCTCTCTAGTTCGGCCCCGCCTCGCACCCAGCGCCAGCCCTCGACACAGCTAAGCCTGCTTTCGAGATTCCGCCCTCTCGGCGCGCGTAAGAGCAGTGCTTCGAAGTGATCTTGGGAAGAGGACCTCGTGTATGTTCAAAAGGAAACCTCGATTATAAACGTTGACCGGAGAAATCATCCAATCAACATTGAAGGCCTTCGAGTTGTTCGCTCCGTCAACTGAAGCAGAGTTCCGGTCGAGGTAATATCGTGGGACTGGAGGCTCTTTAGCAGCGGTGGGAGCATTCGCAAGGATCTCCGGATTTGGTCTCTCCCTCGCCTTTGCAAGTACACTCCACTTGTGGCGTTCGTTTGTTGTCTGCCCGAGTTTGACGAGCCAGATGTGGTACGCGAGGAACGCAGTAACAACGGCGGCCATGATCACACAAATAGCCAGCAGTCCGCAAAGAGCGCGTTCCGCGGTTATTAGGTATTGGAGCACAAGCCTATGGATAGGCCCCTGATGTGGGGGGGCGCAGGAAGTCCATGGAAGGTACCGTGCTCAAGGCTCGGGAACGCGAACAATTTCGATGAGGTCATCGTCGTGCCAGTCCTCGGGTCATAAAACTTCACGTTGAAAAGGTCCTCTATCAAGATGAGGTCGTACAGGATAAGGGAGATGCATATGGCCCCATAACATAAGAGGACAGCGTGACAAGATAAGAAGAGCAGGAAAACGCGATAATTTTCCTCTCCAATCGCGTTGTTAACCCATGGGCAAAAATGATCAAAGCGCGCAATATTGCACTTGGTTGTAGCGCAATATTTTGACCTAGCAATCTTACATACGTTGGCTGTCGGACAAACTTTGTTCGGCCAAAAAAGCATACAATCGTACCTGTATACGAATGGTTTTTCTGTTGGGAGCTGCCTTGTGGAAATGGTCTGGACATTGCAGTAGTGCGCATAATTTTCATGCTTGGCAACAGTTTCATTGTCAACGATGTAGCCAGGTTCTCTAGTGCTTGCAGCCACAAAAGATGTGAGACAAGATGCGAAACACAACATCCCCAAGCCCCTGTGCTGTGGACCTAAGCTCGTACATGGTACGCGCCTACAAATCCCATATTATTTCTGTTTGCGCGTATTTTGAACGCCGCCAGCACGGGTATGCAAAAACGACAACAGTTCCGTACCCACCACAAACGAACATTAGATAAAATATCTGCAATACTACATTTGGTTCCTCACAAAGCCATCGACTGAACTCTGCAGTTCGCTTTTGCGTCTGTCTACCACATAGCTGGCGCATTGTTGGCCACACGACTCGCTGTGGAAAGCTGTAAATGCATTGTGTTAGTTTGTTGTGCCATCTGCTCCCAACTGGATCCACGCACGCGACCAAAGAAACTGCAATCGTGAATACAGCATATGAACAAACTGCGAGCAACCGTAGGTTTTCAACGGTGGCCATTGTTCGGTCCACCGTTGAATCAGCACCCGGTGGGCGCGTACAGCTGTATGTCGGAGCTGTCGTTCGTGGGTGCCTGAGCCGATGGCTGGCCGTCTTTAAGGCGCCGCAGCTCCGCGCTTATGCAGAGTTTTGCAACGATCCCAGTGGCTTTGAGGTCCGCAAGGACATGACGCGTGGGGGCTGGAACGGGGAGTTTAGGACGCGGGGAAGGGATGCGGTGTTCCCTCGCACCCTCTAAGCTAGATTTCGAGCCACTGCAGCGTCGGAGATCGTTCCTCACCGACGCAGTAACGTCTCGCGCGAATGGCCAGTCGCTCGAGCTCCAGTTCCTCGAAAACATCCCGACGGTGTGCGCGTCCGCGCGAGCGCCGTTTCCGAGCGCGGCTGGTACGAGATGCAGACGCAGAGACAGGACGGCGGACCGCTGCAGCCGCCCAGTCCCACCCGTTCCGGAGGCGAACTGCCGAGTCCGCCGTCCTGTCTCCACGCCAGAAGCCTGAGCTCTTGCAGCCCCGCACACGATGGAGACATTGGAACAGTCCCGCAGACTCGGTTGTCACCGGGGTCCGACCCGCGCCCGAGCCGATAGACCGGGTCCGCCGTCCTGTTTTGGGGCGCAACCCCGTCCACGAGCGGCACGAAGCGCTGCGCCATGCCGTCGCGGGAGCGGCTGCCCTGACGGCAACAAATCACACGAGTTGCTGTAGTGCTGAAAACCTCATTATGGTCCACCGGGCCAAAATTTACCATGTGCAGAAGACCGTCGCCTAAGTCGGGACGCGCGCGCATCCCCGGTAACGGCTGCGAGGTTGCTTGGATTGTTAGACGGGCAGCCTTCCTAGGCGCAGAGGAAGGCAGCGTCACCGGAATGTCCCTCGAGCCCCACGACACACGAGCCTCAGGCTGAGCCACCCTTGGTGCCGCCGCCCTTCCCGCTCTGCTTGGCGTAGATGTCCGCGATGTCCTTGGTGAAATCGTAGAGGCCCTTGGTGCACCCGCAGCCGACGGCGCAGCACGCGGCCGGCATCGCGCCGGTACGGAGGCGCCGCTCTCGCATCGAATCGGCGCGAGTTTCACTCGACTGTGTGGTGCTGCGACGACGAGCAAGAGACGTTTGGAGAGGCCTACGACCTACCCTCGACCCACGGCCGACGCTACGGCACGGTCTACGTCCTGTTTGGACTGCATCTTGTCGCTCCGCAACCGACCGTGCTGGGCCCCGCCCCTGAAATGGGTCCTTTCCGGCACCACTGCGTCGCCGCGCGACGCGCGAAAGGGCGTTCAGCGCACCCGCGCACCGTCCCCGACCCAGACGCGTCCAGGATGGCCAGGGGGCGCCCGGGGGAGGTCGGTAATGACAGCTAGCACGAGCAAAACTTTGAGGTCCATTTGCTCGATTTCGCTCTCGGCTGCCAAGCTGCACTTTTGTATCAACTCAGCCACATATGGAAAAATCGCCCGGGCCTCTGCCTCAGGGGTGGATCGCCTATCGCGATCCTAGCACTGGGGATCCTTACTTCCACAATGCATCCTTGAACCAGACGACGTGGGACCGTGCATTGGGCCAGCGTCCTGCTTTCGTCCCATATGATGTCACTTTTTAGACCCAAGCGGCCGTTGGAGATTGGGTTTATTCCTAGACACAATCAGACAGCGGTCAAGTGGCGGGGAGGCAAGAGTTGAGCGTGAAAGTGATGGTCCGGCGCAGAAACTGAGGGCTTACTTTCGAGGTGACGATCGAGATTCGAAGGCCGTGTCAGGCTCGTCCGTGGGATCCTTGTGGGCGGCTGCCGACGAGAACGACGTTGTCTTGAGGAAAAGGCTATCTGCGCGAATTATTACGCTTTCTGGCCACTCGAGCGACAGTGGGACAGAGGACCTAAGGCAAGAACCCTCAATTTGTGGTGTGTCTAGCTTCGCTTAAGTCGCCGCGTATGGCTTTGTAGGTGTGAGCTCATCCGACAGCGAGACAAGCTCATCAGACTTCGAGAGGAGCTCGACGCTGAGAAGCGACTCGCATCTGAGCTTATTGTTGCAGCAGGTGGGCCTGAGGTGGCACCCATTACGACGACGGATGTTGACACGGATGGTGCGGAGGTGCAGCGCAAGGAACTCTCGGCACTCAGGGCTCAAGTCGAACACTACAAATATATCGCTGAGGCCACTAAAAACATGGGCAGATCAGAGGAGCAGTGGGAGGTGGAAGAAGCGACAAATATCACTGATCAAGATGACGACCTCGAGGAAACGCTAGGGGACGTGGATTTGGCGTTAGCTAAGGCTGCGTCCCTCAAAACATGTGGCGTCTCTCCTCGACTCGCGAAGCTCCTCCGCATTCGCCCCTGGTGTGAGGAAGCTATGGCAGCAGCAGTCGTCGAAGACACTGTCATCGAATGGCAGGCCCGCACGGGGGTGGATCTTGATGGCTGGACATCACCAACGCAATTTCCGGATGCGCTCCTTGATGACGCAGCAGCAAGTCGTCTCGAGGCGCCGCCGGTATTGCGCCGCAGTAGTGCGATTAAATTCCCGCGGACTCTGAAACTACTAAATGGTCACGAGCCTCGAGCTGCTTATACAGACAGTCATGGAAAAAAGTACTTTTACGATGTTGCTGATGCAGCATCGCTTCCAGGAACAAGTTGGCAGTGGCTCGGGGGCTGGCGCCTCAAGGAGAGCGCTACTACGGAAAGCGGTTGGATTTATGGAAATTGTACCGAACTCTTTTTCACCGCCTTCTCACCCGACGAGCTTGATTTTGATGCAAAGCCTATGTGTGAGAGCGATGCTCCCCTCCGATGTCGCAAGTGGCGACGGACACGAGCGCTGGTGAGGCCTCCATCGCTTCCACCCGTGGAAGATGTCAAAGCTAACAAACGCATCAGGCGGGCGCACCTCATTGCCTCGAAGTGTCTCGAGCTTCGTTGCCACGGTGCGTCACTTGCTGTTCTTGGGACGAAACTCAGCGGCCAACTCGTTGCAACCCGTGCAGCTCTCGCAGAGGCCGAACGCAAGCTCGCCGGCCTTACTTTTTTGCAAGAAGACCTTGCGAAGCCAAAAAGCCACACCTTCAGTGCAAACACCCCCGATACTCCCAACCCATTCGTAGACTCGAGTGATCTCTCAGAATCGTCCGATAAAGACAACACCTACGCTCCAGACTTGGTGCGACTTTGACCTGGAGCCTCGGTGTTCTTGCCTCTCAGAGAGCAGACCCATCCTGGGTCCAGACCTGAAGACACCGACTGCACCCCGGTTACTTGGGCTCAGGCCTGGCTGACTGTGAACATGCTCGGAACCAGAGCGCCAGGTACGCACGCCCGCTGTTCTGAGCCGGCTAATCTCCGGTCGAGACGTCGAGCAGAGTAGCATAGTAGCACATGGCAAACCGTGCATGCCCCTCGCTCATACCCCTAGCCCCAACAATAGGGGCGGACACTGTAAATCGGACGATTGCAGATCGTCGAATCTGGCGCCGCCGCCTAGTGCGATGGAAAGAAGGCGTATAACTGATAATCAGAGAGTCTGGGTTCGTGGAAACCGATGCTCCAGCTTCAAATGCCTCTTCAGCAACTCATCACTCAAACCCAACTCTTGGATGTCAGCAGAAACCATATGACCCCAAAAAATATAAGCCGCGCCACCCCGGACCCCGGGGAAGCGGCGAGCTGGGAGAGGACCACCACAGCCAGCAGTTTTATTTAGCTGGATGATGATAGGTGGTCTAAACTCACTAACTCGTTACCGGAAACATATTGTACTGCCGTAAATGCAATTTCCGTCCACTTGGCCTTTCGTATCTCCCACTAGCCTACCGGAAACATGTTGTCTGGCACCGTGGACTCGGCCACGCTCGGAGCGCGTCCATCGCGTGTAATTGCTTCAAGAATCGCAACGACGCAGCTCCTGAGCGGTTGCTTTTGTTATTTTTAGCACGGCCTTCGTCGACTACATTTTTACGGCCGCCACGTGCTCGCGCCCGTCGCCGTGCCCCCCGTGCCCCGAGAGTATATGTACTTGAATAGCATCTATGAATAGCATGCAACTCTAGTTAGTTTGGATTCTAGCTAGCTGTTCTTTACTTGTTGTGGCCTCGCGGATCTGGCCGACGATAACCTGGTTGGGCCTGCGACGACCAGTGGGGCCGCCAGGCTCCCCGGGCAGAAGTGGGCGCGCGCACAGGGCGCTTGCGTCAGCCAGGGATTTCGGTGGGGCCAGTACTTCAAGATCCAAGCGCAACCATATGGATCACGGTGGACCCGCAGTCCGAGTGGCAGATTGGAATAGCAGGTAGACTCTCAAAGAAGTCCCCTCAACCTGGCAGCGGCCGGTGGGCTGGCCACACGTTTCAAACCTCTAAAACAGGCCACGTTGGCTATGGAAAAGTTGTCCGAGGAGAGTAGTCAACACTTACAATTTTTTGCCGCAGCATGTCCAAGTAAGATTCAGGTTTGCATTCATGGTAGACGACAGTGCCATCTGCATTCATTTCAAATGTTCCATTGTATGACGTCATACACTTGCACTGGGTCATGCCTGGTTCGTTTGCAAATCGACCCGGGGGACATCGAAGACAATCAAATTTAGAGTCGGAACCAGTTATCTTATTATACCGTCCCATGTTGCACTTGTCGCAGCTATCAATATATCGACCACCCAGGGTTTCTCTGTAACGACCGTGTGGACAATTATCACACCGTGTAACATGGTGGTAGTCAATGTCACGATATTTGCCGGCCGGGCATGGTTGCATGACTTCCTGTTGGCAATAGAAGCCAGGCTGACATCGGAGATTTCCGATGGCGCAGCCATCATGGCACTCAAAGCGAGCAACCTCAGCACGGTCACTAAAATCTGACGTGATCTCATAGCGGTAATAGTAATCACAAGCTTGATGGCAGCCTATCAACGTCCAATTAAGGTAATAGTTTGAACACCCAAGCTCGCAGAAAATTGGATAGCCGCTATTGTACGAAGGGGCTGTGGCCCACGGGTGATTGCGAGTCGCCAGCGGTTTGTTCGGTCCTATTGGCCGGACTAGCTCGTCCGCTACTGTACAATTCACATTGTGTTGGCACCCGACAGTTGCCGATAAGTCAATGCCATCATAAGCCAGGGCTTCCCACTGGGGCGTGAGACCATGCGACAAACCAACTACGGTACTGGCATTCCCCACATCAAGGTCAAGCCAGCTTAGGCGGATGGCACCTGAACTAACGAAGAGGGCTACTTGCATAGGCCTTGGCGGCGCAGGTGGAGGCTGGAAGAATGACAAAACAAGACGCTCGTCTATGAGACCCTTGTCAAGAAGCCCATACGTGATATGAGTTACATTAAATCTGGACCCCGCGACACAGAGGAGGCAGAGTGATTGTCCCGGCCAGAATCCAGACCGGAGGAATTTCCGAACATCACGCCACGAAGTGGGTAGGCGTGTTTCAAATCCAATCGCTCCGTACGAATACAGGTATATTCGATCCACAGATCTTCCAAAATATGTGAATGACGTCGTCAGTCCTGTCCGAGAAAGTACTAGAGTTGCTGTTTCATCAGCATCGTATGCCAGCGTCGAGTGGCTCGGTGTGAAAGGGTTGTCTGGTAGTTCAACAATCACATCACCATGGACGCCATAACCCTCCCCTTCAGTAGCATACCATTGATAGCCCAGCTGGGAATAGTTGGATGCGGGACAGGGTGTAAAGGTAAGAGAGCGGTGCTGTAGATCAAATTGTACGTCAACACCATCGTAGCCGTCAAAGATCTGCGCCGGTGCGTCACGCACTGGACAGAAGCCCCGTCGTTTGTTTTTCGCACATTCACTCCTACATGTGCCCAACGTGCTCAGCGTCGACAAAGGGAGCGAAGTCACCAAGACTGAGATGCATCGTCTTTGAAAGCTCCACCTGGTCTCTCCCATGGGTGATATGTGAGATGATATTAAGGAATGATACAAGATGTAGTAGGCTGATAGTAGACCTTGAGGGTAAGTTGAGGTGGAGTTGAAGAAGAGTTGAAGGAGGAAACCTCGAGCTCCCCCTATTTGCAAATTCACTAGTGTATCTTGAACCCGCCAGGGAATGGCTGCCGCCTCCCGGACCTACACTATGCTCCCCCTCCAGAAAACTCCGCCGGCGGGCTGCTTTAGCATAAGGAGCGAGTGTCGACTGGGCTGCAATAATGAATAGCAGCTCATTCTCTCTCTCTCTCCTTTGACGCCTCCTTTGGGCGCTACTTTCCTGGCTAATCGAAGATTACCTGTACATATCCTGGCTGATATGTGGCCATATCACATGCATCATCTCAATGAGTTAGCGTCTCCATCGCGCGATTCGGAAGGCCTGGAGTTGGAACATGCCAACCTCACAGACGAAACGGTGGCTTGTTTAAATGCCGAACCCGTCCACCGGTTCAAAAAGATAGATCTAAGCGCAAATCCGCAGCTTACGACGCTGCCGAGCGGAACCAAATTTCCTGCTCTTGAATGGCTCAAAGCATCGCACTGTACCGGATACTCACTAACTACGGTGGCCGCCATCTTCTCAAGCTATCCTGGTCTCACTTTCTTGTGTTTGGCTTGTTGTGGACTCACTGCACTACCTGAAGATCTCTCACACTCGACCTGTATCCTCGAATATCTAGACCTGCATGGAAACAAAATTGCCAACCTTCCATATTCAATTGCTGGCTTAAGTTATATGAAAGAACTTAATCTCTCCGGGAATGCACTGGTGGACTCTGCTATGATTGCCCTCGCGGCTTCTTTCAAGGCCTCGACGCAGCTCCGTCATCTCTTCCTGGCAAACAACCTCATTACTGAGCGGGGTGCCCTCACACTATCTCGAGGTCTTTCGACCAAAAATAATAGTCTAAGATTACTCGTGTTGACCGGGAATAATGTCAAGGATGACGGATGTGCAGCAATACTTGCTTCAGTTGCCATGTGTACATTGCATACATTACGGCTTGACGCATGTGGCATGAGTGATGACGCTTCTCGTGCACTCGCAGCTGCGGTTCGCACAAATGTGCACCTCCGCTCTTTGGCAATTGGGCGTAACCAACTTGGAAACGAGGCGATCATCACGCTCAGTCGTGCGTTGGAGGACCAACATGGCTTGCGAGGCGTCACTGACCTGGACTTGTCTGATAATCATTTGGGTGCTGACAGTGCTGTTGCCCTGGCGGCAGTGCTATTACACAACAGCGCATTGTTGCGGCTGAATCTAGGAGGTAACGACCTTTTGGTCAATACCTCGCGTGCGTTGATTGCGCTTGCAGATGGCATTTCCCGGAATATTGTTGATTACGTGTCACTTACAATTTCCCTTTTGTACGGACAGAATCTCGTAGGCGCTTCTCGAGCTCAATTTATCGGGGTGTAAAATTGGATGCGCGAATTCAGGTATGCTGGTCTCTGCCATTGAGCGCAATGAACAACTCGATTTTATTCATTTTGGTCACAACCGAGGAGACGATGGCGCTTTATTTAGCAAAATTCAAGCACGGCCTCGTCCAGTTGCCCGATTGCGCGCTGATGATATGCTTAATCGTCTTTTTGGCGATGCAATGCTTGATCAAAAACTGAAGAACAAACTCAACACTGACGGCATTTTGCTACACCCAGACCAAAATGCCAACGTCCAAGTATCCTACGGCCGAAGACCGAATGTAATCGGCAACTTGCGATGCAGTGCTACCACATCCCTAGCTGAAATGCGGTATTTAATCACAAAGAACCTCTCACTTGCTGATGAAAGCTATCTTATGATAGCTCATGATGGCACACGGGCATTTCCAAGGCACGAGGAGGACAAGCGGCACGTGCTCCTTGACTGTGGCCACAATCTACAACTTCGCCCATCCACCTGGCTGACTTTGGCGCCTGCATGACCGGCTGAATATGCCCTACCTACGAAACAGCCGGCGAGTTGGGCTGCACTTGCCTTCTATTAAGGGGCGCGCCCCTAGTTCGCGCCTCGCCCGCACCACGCCTCCTAGGGTAGGGTAGGCTAACGATGGTTGTTGTCTCGATGATCACGGGGATACCCAGCGACCCCATGTCCCTAACTAGCACGGCGAAATACCCAGCAATTTTGATTAATCGAAGACTCTCGGATGTGCCGTTGTAAAACCGGTCGGTAGTGGCGCACGGAGGTTGCTTTTGGGCCGCACGTGCCTGGCCAAGCCGGTGCGGAAAACATGATACTCTCCCCCCTTCCCCGCCTTCGTACATTATAATAACCTCGCTGACAGTTTGTCTGTGCGGTACTGTGCCCGAGTCTACGAGAGTAGCCTCCTTCTTAAGTCAGCTCTAGCACCCACTTAGACTGCCCTGTTAAGTCCACAGGGCGCACTTATGGGGGCCGGATTACCGGGTAATGCCCGTAAGAGGGGCCCCTAGGCAACGTTGCGTCTTGCAGACGCGGCCGAGACGCGGGAGACGCGAGTTCCGGGACGCGGCAGGACGCGGCCAAGACGCCCCGGGACGCGGCCGAGACGCGCCGGAGACGCGGGACGCGGCCGGGACGCGAAAAAAAAGACGCCAGAGACCACCCCAGGACCGAACCCACGACCACGAAAGACGACCCCGGGACCGAAGCCAGACCCGCGGGACGCGAGAGACGCGCGAGAGACGCAGCCCAGACGCGGGACGCCGGCCCAGACGCCGGCCAGACGCCGCCAGACGCGGCCGAGACGCCCCAGACGCGGCCAAGACGCGACTTCCGAGACGCGCCGGAGACGCCGGAGGACCTGGCGGAGACTGCCCGGGGACTTAGCGAAAGACGCCCAGACCGCGCGTTGCCTAGGGACCCCTCGTAAGGGCGGCTAGGGAGAGGGGCAAGCCGCAAACTCAGCTTCGTTGGGTTTCCCAGGCCCGAGGGCGACCTAGGTCCAAAAGCACGCGTAAAAAACGCGTAAAAACGCCACAAAAAACGCGGTCCAGGAACCCGCGTAATTTACGTGAGGCACGTGGTACAATTTTCTTTTTACTCAATTTTTTTTCTAGTCTAAATCGACGCCGTTTGCATCTCGGACCCCGGCGGGAAAAATAAAATAAGACAAAAAAACAGCTCCGCGTAAAAAACGCGTAAAAAACGAGTAAAGACGCGCAAAAAACGCCGTGGCGACGGCTCACGTAAAAAACGCCGGACGTCACGTAATTTGGGACCTAGAGGGCGACTTGAGGGCGACTAGGGAGGGGGGCAAGTCGCAAACTCAGCTTCGTTGGCTTCCCCAGGCCCGGACAGCGGCTGGGGGCTTTACTCAGGCGCCGGGCTCCCGGGAAAGCCCCAGGAAAGCCCAAACTGGAACGCGCCGCCCCCCCCCCCGCGCCCGGAGCGCCGCAAGGAGGCCAGTACCTGGGCGCGCACCGAGCACATATTGCAGGGGTAGGCGGCTGCCTGGCCCGGTGCACAAGCACCTCGGCCTCTGAGAATTGCCCACGAGGTAAATGAGGCCTGGGCAGATATTCCAGCATAGCATGCCCAGTCAGTGCTAGAGCCAGGATGATGGGCACACGATTACAGCTCAGCTTTCTTGCCACTGGCACACAATAAACAGCCAGTCGGTAGGCTCCAATAAGATTTCAAGCAAAAATTACGCACCAGATTGCCTTAGATTCAAGAACAGCAGGATGAACCTTTAGGAATGTTGTCCGAGGCTGTCACGTGGAGCGAGTCGGCATGTTTCTGTTGGGCAGCGACTATGCTTGCACTTCGTTTAGCCACCGTCAAGAAAAGGTCGTCGACACCCTCACCAGTCAATGCCGAGGTAAGGTGCAAAGATGCGCCCCAGTCAGCACATATAGTACGACATGCATCCAAGTCGAAGCCAGGGGCATTGGGCATGTCCATCTTGTTGCCGGCGACACCGATGATGACTCCAGGCTCAGCGTATGTCAACAAATCCTGATCACAACATGATGCGCATGAGTTCAAAGGTCATGGCGTGAGGAGCATAGCGTGCCCTCGTCGAGACGGTAGACATGGGACACCGTATTTTACCTTTTGCCACGTCTTGATTGCGTCCCAAGCGAATTCTTTGGAAGAATCGAAGACTATGATTGCAGCTGTCGCACCCCGATAGTACATTGGAGCCATGCTACGAAAGCGCTCCTGGCCCGCCGTATCCCATAGCTGCAATGCGACCTGCGTCCTGAATGGTGGGTAGGAGCGCGACCACATTGAGCGACACCGTGATAGATAATACATTATGAGTTCCCCCTCCATGCTCATCCTACATGTACATTGACCACAAATTAGCAAGACGAATTAAAACCGGTGGCACCTGAACATAGACCCGCTTCTGGAGGAAGGACGCACCGATGGTTGGGCTTGCGCCTACGAGACCTGTCTTTGTTTGACCACATACTCGTAGTTTGACGCACTCATTGGGGAGTCCCCGTAGCAAAAGCGTTCGGACAGACTCGTTTTACCTACGAATCGCGCATAACATGACATGAGAATCGCGCTAGCACCAGCGTCAGTGTCTCCCACGACCACCGTTTTTATCTCCATCTGACAAGGGCGCGTGTTATTGAGTTTTACATTACAGCACTTTCGCGATAAAATGAGCGTCGAGGCAAATCGGGAGCAATCGATCAATCGACCGACCAATCGACCGACGGCCGACCAACGCGCGGCGCGATGGCGGACCGGCGGGCCCGTGAGTTAGTCGAGCAGATGGTGACGCGGGGCAAGAGCAAGAAGCAGGCCGCGGCCCTGAGCGACTCGAGCGAGGAAGAGGACGGCGGCTCGTCCGACTCGTTGACGGAGAGCCCGACGGCGAAGCGCGACGCTTTGATGGAGGACAGCGACGAGGAGTCGGACGGGACCTTGACCGCCGCGCTGAGCAAGACGGCGAGGAAGAAGCCGACGCCGCGCGTGGTGGAGGTCCACGTCCGCGGCGATTTGCGCAAAAAGGGGAAGGAGTACCTCTCGAACGCGCGCGCCGCCGTGAAAGCGATCGTGCCCGCGGACTACGACTACGAGGACGGCCTCACGGTCAAGGAGATGGCGAAGATCTGCGGCCTCGACATCGACAAGCTCGGCGCCCGGGGCGTGAACATCGTGGCCGCGGGGCTCGCGAACACCTTGACGTCGAACGTCGTCGAGAAGCCCTTCGCGCTCACGGACGTCACGTGCCACAAGGTCTGCTCCTACCAGGAGTTCGGCAGCGGCAAGCAGCGCGCCTTCGTCCTCAGCGTCATGATGGCGCCGAAGGCCATCCGGGCCATGCTGCTCGCGCCGCGCGCGCGGGCGGGCGCCGCTTCCGTGAAGCGCCGGAAGCGCGCCGTCGTCGACGACGACGACGACGACGGCGAGGAGTCGTCGCCGCCGCCGCGCCCGACGAAGAAGCGCGGGGGCGGCGCCGCGCGGCGCGGCGGCGGCGACGCCGAGGGCGGCGACCGCCGCGGCCGCGGCCGCCGCGACGCGTCGGACGACGAGACGCAGCCGTTCTACGCCCCGGACGACGACGACGGCGGGCCCCAGCCCATCGAAATCGACGACAGCGACAACGAGGACGACGACCTCGCGGCGCTCACGAAGAAGCCGGGCAGCGCGCACGCGAAGCGCAAGGAGGACCGCGTCAAGAGCACGGACGCGATGAGCCGCGAGCTGTCGCTCGCGTCGCAGCTCAAGGGCCTCAACGCCCTCCTCGTGCGCCACTGCGGCGGCAAGGGCCTCCTGCAGTCCGACTGCGAGTGGCTCGCCAAGAAGCTCGTCGGCTCGGACGAGAGCTGGCCGCCGGGCTTCGACGACTTCGTCGACTACCACAACGGCGACCTCGTCGTCAACCGCGACGACTTCGCCAAGTTCCTCGGCGGCCCGAGCGGCAAGGACTGGAGCTTCCTCCCGGGCGGCGGGCTCAGCGACATGTCGAGCGCCGGCGGCGGCGGCGGCGGCGACAAGTTCGCGAAGTTCGCCAAAGCCCTCGGCTCGTCGCTGGCCACGGGCATCGGCGAGGCCCTCTCCCGGGGCTCGTCCCGGCCCCCGTCGCCCGCGCTGGCCGCCGCGCCGGCCGCCGCGCTGGCCGCCGCGCCGGCCGCGGGCCCGTCGAAGGTCCGGCGCGTGTCCGACGACCCCGAAATGGAGCGCTTCGTGGAGCTCCTCCTCGGCTCGATGGCGGACCGGGAGCTCGCCGTCAAGATCAAGGTCGCCGTCGACGAGTTGGACACGCCCCGGTCGCTCCTCAAGGAGATCAGCCGCCTCTACGCGAAGCGCGACAGCGACATGACGTCCGACCTCGCCTCGACGCTCGCGGAAACCGCGACGCTCCTCGCCACCCAGAGCAAGATCTGAGCCCCCTGTGCCCCGCCTCCCTGTGCGCCTGTGCCCCGTGTCCTAAAGCTTCGATCGTGCGCGAGTTCGGCGAGGCGTACGGCGTCTCGGGCCGACGTCGAAGTTTGGGCTGCTCCCTCGATGCACCTCGAGCCGAGCCCTGCCGCGGAAGCGCCTTGGGCGCCGGCCACGCGCCGGCCGATGGCGCTCCG